AAAATGTCAGAAATGTAAAAAAGTACAGCAACAGTAATTTAAAACTGTTCAGACTATGTTGACAATACTTTGCCACATTTTACTATTATTTTTATTTAGCGTTCATCTTAATTTCTGTTGCAGGTTCACCCTTAATTTGGCTTTGTGACGTGCAGTTTCACATGAAAATAATTTTCATCTGCAAGGATGCCTATTAGTGAAGGTAGGTACACCTATAGATTTCCAAAGCTTGGGTTATTATTTTCTTAGTAAATGTCAAAGCATAATGATGTTAGATATTTTTGACATGGTATTTGTAATTATCGGTTTTATGAGCATTGGTTTTCATCATATTATTGTTTTCCATTTAAAAAGAAAATGATACAATGATGTGCAATTCATGCATTCCCCCTCAGACTGACATTAGATGACCACGGTACCTTTCTTTACCTATTGGCACATGGGGTATGCTAGAAATTAAAAGCTTTTTATTTAAAAAATATAATCGTCTTACCGTTGTATCCCCAATTGGCATTTGGGTCGTGTCCCATTGCATCCCATCCCACCCCATTCCATCCCATTCCATACCATCCCGTCCCATCCTATCTCGTCACGTCACATTATATCCCATGCCATCTCATTCCATCCCATCCCATCCCGTCGTGTCCCATCCCATCTCAACACGTCACATCCCATCCCATTCTATCCCATCCCATCCCATCCTGTCCATTGCCATTGCGACCCATTGCATCTCATCCATCCAGGCCATTCTGTCTCATTCTGTCACCTCATGTCCCATATAATGACGTCTTATGCAATTCCATGTCACCACATCGCACCACGTTCTTAGCTATCCCATCTCATCATCGCACATCCTATCCCATCCCATCCTGTCCCATCTCATCTCCTCCCATACACACCCGTCCACATCCCACCACGTTCTTAACTATCCCATCTCTTCCCTTTCATCAAATTCCATCTTATCTGTTCATGCATTTTCCATCAAACGACCAAACGAAGGAAGACAGTGATCTCATAATTGAATATATATAGTGAATTAGTAGCAACATGGTTAGCTTTTATAAGACACATAAAGGCGGGCTCATGTCGGGCTTGCGAGCTGACTCGACTGGAAGCAACTGGCTGCGACTGCAGTGCTTAGGTCGGTCGACTGCGACGCGACTGCCTGCGACTGGCCGCCACTAGTTGCTCGGAATAGAACAGTGGGCAACTGGACGCAACTAGTCGCTGCTGATCGCTTCCAGTTGCTCGAAATCCAGTTGCTTCCAGTCGAGTCGGCTCGCAAGCCCGACATAAGCCCCCCTTTATGTTTCAAACCTCTGAGTTGCTTCAATGGTATTTCCTACAACGTCACCTACTAACCCCTGCACGACAGATATATAGAGATTTTCTGAGCAGTGTTGACTATATCCGACTGGATTTGTTCGATCACCAGCTGCGTACTACTGATAATAGATGAAGCCATTTGAACTAATTCGCAGCGCTACCATAGTATCGTCTGTATCGCCTGACCCACACACTTAAGCTTAATAGCAATAATCTACATAACGTCTGTGTAATGCTCACGTCACACTTCGTTACGTAATGTAGCAGCAGCCAGGGAAAGTGCAAGTGGAACAATTAACGGCCGACCACATGCTAGATGTCCCGCCGTTTCCACACTATTGCTATTAGTTATTCGATATTGCTAAGCTATATTCCATTTTTGCTTTTAATGAAAGGAGTTCATATTCATCACGAGTTGTTTCGTGTACGTTGCACAGTCGGTGATCACCGTAATGACGGTTATAAACGTGTATTCACTGCATGCGTGTTTTTATTATCTAAACGAGTAGGGTTTCCTTGCATAGTTACGCACGGGAGAGTGACTATATGGTATGCGGTGAGAAACATCGAATAAAGCGAGGTGCACTTCTGTTTTCCAACGCTTTCCGTGCTAGTTGTAGTACGTCACGGCGGAACCTGTCACGTTTGTGTCAGCAGTCCTGCTAGAATAGAAGTCAACAAGCAGTTAGTT